TGGGCATGAACAAGTGGACAATTTGATGTGGGAGTGTTTCAGCCTCACTGTACACAGCTGAAAATGATTACTTCCTAAGGCTCCAGGCAGGGATGAATCAGGCTTAGTGAGATTATTTACCCAACGCAAGAAGTTTTAGTAAGACATTTTTTGATTGTAAAGTCAGAAAATGCAGCAGATTGTATAGCACATCCTGTATGTTTCAGGTGAGATAATGAATGATGCTAATGGTAGCATATTAGCTTAATATTTAGTTAGAAAAATTGGACTAAGAGCATTTTACATGTGCAATATATTCGAGGTAATGTTGCTACAGGAGACTTCTCTTCTGCATTTACTGATTTTTTTTTTGTGCAAACTTAAAACTGTATTCACAAAGTTTTTGCATTTCATTTCCTAGGTTTGTTTCTTTTCTTTTAAATAAAGGAAATCAATATACTGAGAGGTTTCAGAGTAGCAGCCGTGTTAGTCTGTATTCGCAAAAAGAAAAGGAGTACTTGCGGCACCTTAGAGACTAGTTAGTTTCTAAAGGTGCCACAAGTACTCCTTTTCTTTTTTGCGAATATACTGAGAGCTTGTAGACAAGCTTGCAGAGCTTACAAACAAAAGTGAGCAAAAAACAGATTTTTCAGTTTGGGAGGCCAAACCAGAAAAAATATTCAGTTTGAATCAGACTGAAACCAATTTTTAAAAAAAATATTGTCAAATTGAAAATCTGAAAAAAAATGTTGTTGTTAACTCAAAATGAAATACTTGTGGGGAGGGGAAGGGATTTCCTTTTTATCTGGCCATTTCAGAATGTTTTCACCCTTCACAAATTGGCCAAATTTGAAAATGGAATGCCATTTTGAAAAGTCAAAACAAAACATTTCAAAATGATTAAACTTTGACTTTTTTCAGCCAAAATTAAATTCAAACTGAATTTGCAAATCATTTTCATGCTCTGAAAAAATTCATTTTTGCTGAAATTACTGTTTGCCAGAAACATTTCACTCAGAGCTACTAACACACCTCTTGCCAGCAGAGCTTGTAAATTCCCTAAAACAATCAGCATGCACTGAACTAGCTGCATGTGCCGCAAACGTTTTTATGATATTTCTTGCTGCAAATGGAAAGGCAGAACAGTCATCCCTAACTCATCAGGTGAATGGATTGAAGATCTGAGAACCTAAATTTAAGCCTCATCTATACTGGAAAAGTTGCACTGATTTAATTAAATTGATTTTAAAAACATCTAGTTAAACTAGTGAAAAATCTCTAATGTAGATGTGCTTAAATCAGTTTAAACCTCATTTAAATGAGTTTAGCTTAATTTGGTAATTTACCAACACAAAACAAACCAATTTAAGCAAGAGTTAAACCAGTTGAAGTGATTACATTGTAAACTGATGTGATTAAACTACCACAAATTTCCTGCTACAGACACAGTTTAAAATGGATCCTAGATAAGGAAACAGTTCGTAGTTATAAATCAATCTAGTTTTAAAAAAAATAAGCCTGTAATTTTACTTAAACATCAGCATTTCCAAATGTCTATTGTTTGTTTGTTGTGTTTTATAAAGGTAATTACAGGTAACTTTTTCATGTCCCTATCAATAGCCTTGTCAGTGAATTAAATAGAAAATACATCAAACCATTTGGTCTCTTTCCCCCTCCATCAGGAAGAGATGGTTCTATCTGGACAGGCATTAAGAAGAGAATAAAGGGAGACAATGGTGTTTCTTGTGGGACCCAAGTAACCCTGGAGAATTTAACATTTGAAACACAAATCAATTTAGTGGTGGCAAAGCTTGAAATGATGACCTTCTCCTGCTAAGATCCAGTAAATTGCTTTGCACAGCTGGGCTATTGGGCAGGACCAGGGCTTTTCTTGCTCCTGTGGTTTATCTACTGAAGGTCTCTGTGCTGTGGAGTCTTTGCTCTTTGGCTATGTCTTCACAAACAAAGTGGTTTCTTTACACTGAGATGACTATCTCATGTTGGCTAGCTCACTGTAAAATCCTAGTGGGGACAAGGCATAGGCACTTATTACTGCAAGATAGGTAGATGAGGTCAATAGTTGACCTCAACTAGTTCCATCATGGCAGAGACTCCAGAGCTTTGTCTCCACTAGGATTGTACAAACACACCTTTTCTGGCAGTGAGGACATAACCGTTGTGTCCTAGGCATTTGGCCCCATCCTAATTGCCTGTGAATATCCCACCTCTGTCTGTCCTTTCTGTCTCTCACAAGTGCTGTCTGGTGGACTGGGAGCAGTCCAGGAGTAACTGAATGGTATATAGCACCCTCAAAACATTCCCATGTGTGGCCTCTGAACTGCTTCCTTTTGCAACATGGACAGGGTGGGTCCCCTCTTTGCCTGTCCCATGGCATCAATCCCTCACTGCCTCCGCTGCCCTTTCCTCACCACATTTGGGATGCTTGGGTCCTGATAGAAGGCTCAGCTGAAACCATCATCAGACCTTTGTTAAATCCAAGCCACTTCCCCACCAAACACCTAGCCAAAGCCCCAGTTCCCAGTAAGAGTTCTGTCCAGCCAGCCGTCTCCATGCGTTATGCTTCAGCTGCTTTTGCAGTAGCCCTATAAAAGACTTGCTCAGAATTGTATGCAGGGCAGTTACCTTGCTCAGGATTGTTTTTCCATACTTCCTGAACTACAAAATGGCCAGAGGATTTTGCCTCAAGCTTTCTGAAAACATCACCTTGGAGAGGAGACCAAACTGCCTCTCAGCTCTTCTAATCAATCCCGGTTTGTTGTAGAAAGACAGCTGGTAGTTCCAACTAAGTACCGGGTAAAGCTCTTTAGCTTAGCCCACGATCATCCTAGTGGCCATCCTGGGGTGAACAGAACCAAAGACTGTTTGAGGAAGTCCTTCCACTGGGAGGGAATGGGCAAGGATGTTTCGACCTATGTCCCGTCTTGTGAGGTATGCCAAAGAGTGGGAAAACCTCAAGACCAGGTCAAAGCCCCTCTTCAGCCACTCCCCATCATTGAGGTTCCCTTTCAGTGAGTAGCTGTGGATATTCTGGGTCCTTTTCCAAAAAAAGACACCCAGAGGAAAGCAGTACATACTGGCTTTCATGTATTTTGCCACCCGATGGCCGGAAGCAGTAGCTCTAAGCAACACCAGGGCTAAAAGTGTGTGCTAGGCATTAACAGACATTTTTGCCAGGGTAGGTTGGCCCTCCGACATCCTTATGGATGCAGAAACTAATTTCCTGGCAGGGACCATGAAAAGCCTGTGGAAAGCTCATGGGGTGAACTACTTGGTTGCCACCCCTTACCACCATCAAACAAATGGCATGGTGGAGAAATTTAATGGAACTTTGGGGGCCATGATACATAAATTCATAAATGAGCACTCCAATGATTGGACCTAGTGTTGCAGCAGTTGCTCTTTGCCTACCGAGCTGTACCACACCCCAGTTTAGGTTTGCACCATTTGAACTTGTGTATGGCCGTGAGGTTAAGGGACCATTACAGTTGGTGAAGCAGCAATGGGAGGGGTTTATACCTTCTCCAGGAACTAACATTCTGGACTTTGTAACTAACCTACAAAATACCCTCTGAACCTCTTTAGCCCTTGCTAGAGAAAACCTAAAAGATGCTCAGGAAGAGCAAAAAGCCTGGTATGATAACCATGCCAGAGAGCGTTCCTTCAAAGCAGGGGACGAGGTTATGGTCTTGAAGGCTTTCAAGACCCATAAGATGGAAGCGTCATAGGAAGGGACATTCATGGTCCAAGAGCGCTTGGGTGCTGTTAACTATCTCATAGCATTCCCCACCTCAAACCAAAAGCCTAAAGCATACCATTTTAATTCTCTAAAGCCCTTTTATTCCAGGGAATTAAAGGTTTGTCAGTTTACAGCCCACAGATGAGATGACGCTGAGTGGCCCGAAGGGGTCTACTACGAAGGAAAAAGTGACAGTGGTGTGGAAGAGGTGAACCACTCCATGACCCTTGGTCATATGCAGCGATAGCAGATCAAGGAGCTGTGCACTAGCTTCACACTGACGATCTTAGCCACCCCAGGATCGACCAAAAGGGCATACCACTCCATTGACACAGGTAATGCTCGCCCAATTAGAGCCCAACCTTACCAGGTGTCTCCTCAAGCCAAAACTGCTATAGAACAGGAGATCCAGAACATGCTACAAATGGGTGTAATCCACCCCTCTAACAGTGCATGGTTGTCTCCAGTGGTTCTAGTTCCCAAACCAGATGGGGAGATACGTTTTTGCATGGACTACTAGAAGCTAAATGCTGTAACTCACCCAGACAACTATCCAATGCCACTCAAAGATGAGCTATTGGAGAAACTGGGGCGGGCCCAGTTCATCTCTACCTTAGACTTAACCAAGGGGTGCTGGCAAGTACCGCTGGATGAATCCGCCAAGGAAAGGTCAGCCTTCATCACCCATGTAGGGCTGTATGAATTTTAATATGCTCCCTTTTGGCCTGCAAAATGCACCTGCTACTTTCCAGAAGCTTGTAGATAGTCTCCTAGCAGGATTAGGAGAATCTGCAGTCGCCTACCTTGACTATGTGGCCATCTTTTCTGATTCATGGGCAGAACACCTGGAGCATCTGCAAAAAGTCTGCATAAGGCAGGCAGGACTAACCATTAAGGCTAAAAAGCATCAAATAGGCCTAAACAGAGTGACTTACCTTGGACACCAGGTGGGTCAAGGAACTATCAACCCCCTACAGGCCAAAGTGAATGCTATCCAAAAGTGGCCTGTCCCAAAGTCAAAGAAACAGGTCCAATCCTTCTTAGGCTTGGCTGGATATTACAGGCGATTTGTACCACACTACAGCCAAATTGCCGCCCCACTGACAGATTTAACCAAAAAGAAACAGCCAAATGCAGTTCAGTGGACTGAAGTCTCTCAGAACGCCTTTCACCAGCTTAAAGTGACACTCATCTCTGACCCTGTGCTAAGGGCTCCAGACTTTGACAAACCTTTCCTGGTCACTACAGATGCATCCGAGCGTGGTGTAGGAGCAGTTTTAATGCAGGAAAGACTGGATCAAAAATTCCATCCTGTTGTATTTCTCAGCAAAAAAAACTGTCTGAGAGGGAAAGCCACTGGTCAATCAGCAAAAAGGAATGTTACGCCATTGTCTACACTCTGGAGAAGCTATGCCCATACCTTTGGGGATAGTGTTTCCACCTGCAAACCGACCATGCTGCGGTACAGTGGCTTTGTATCGTCAAGGACAATAACAAAAAACTTCTTCGGTGGAGTTTAGCTCTTCAGGATTTTGATTTTGAAATACAACACATTTCAGGAACTTCTAACAAAGTGGCTGATGCACTCTCCTGTGAAAGTTTCCCAGAATCAACTGGTTAAAATTGTCCTTGAAATGTGAAAAATATTGTGAATTTTTATATAATCAGTAGTATATCTAAAGGTGTATGTCTTATTTATTCTGTTTTCTCCTAGAGCTCCAGGAAGAAATCACAGCCAGTGTGAAGCAGGCTGTCCAGCACGGTCTATGATTTGCGGGGCGTATCATAAAATCCCTCCTTACCTGTAAAGTGTTAAGAAGCTCAGGTAACCTGGTTGGCACCTGACCAAAAGGACCAATAAGGGGAGAAGATACTTTCAAATCTGTGGGGGATGGTTTTTGCTTTGTTCTCTTTGTTGGTTCTCTCTGGGTCAGCAAGGAATCAGGACAGGGAAAATACATCTCCCAAAGCCCTACTTGAACTAAGCATCTAGATTACAAAAATTGTAAGCAAAGCAAGGAAATGCGTTAGTTTATCTTTTGTTTTAGCTCGTGAATTTTCCCTGTGCTGGAGGGAGGTTTAGCCCTGTTTTTTTGTAACTTTTAAGTTTTGCCTAGAGGGAAATCCTCTGTGTTTTGAATCTGATTGTCCTGTAAAATTACCTTCCATCCTAATTTTACAGAGGTGCTTCTTTTACTCTTTTTTCTGTATAATAAAGTTCTTTAAGTTTTTTAAGAATCTGATTGGGTTTTTAGTGTCCTACAAACCCAAGGGTCTGGTTTGTGCTCACCTTGTTTATTTTTCAAGCCTCCCCAGGAAAGGAGGGTGTAGGCTTAGGGGGATATTTTGGGGGAATAGGAACTCCAAGTGGTCCTTTCCCTGATTCTTTGTCTAAATCACTTGGTGGTGGCAGCATACCTCAGTCCAAGGACAAATAGAGATTTGTGCCTTGGGGAAGTTTTAACCTAAGCTGGTAGAAATAAGCTTAGGGGGTCTTTCATGTGGGTCCCCACATCTGTATCCTGGAGTTCAGAGTGAGGAGGGAACCCTGACAGGTGGGGTCCAAAAGATCTGAGTGCCTGGAAGCAGGGCGAGTATGGAAACTATTCTGCAGCCTTTCCCAGTGAGAGAGAAAAGACGATGATGTCCAGGTGATAGAGGAAGAGACAGAGAGGAGGAGGAGCAGTGGGAGAAAGAGAACACAAAGAGACAGGACTGACAGAGGGAGAGGCAAGGGGTGGGGGCAGGTGCTGAGTGAGGTCTTCCCAACACCCACCAGTAGCTGCTGTCAGTACCTGGGTCCTTTAGGAGAGGTCAAGGCCTTAGCAGAAGAGACACCCCCACCCCATCAGAATCCCTGCCTAAGGCTGGGAATTCTGCACCCATGGAGCTCCAGCTATTCGGAAGACACTTCAAAGCACACGACACAGGAAGGAACAAACAGAGGGGTTGGGACTGGGGGTAGGACCTTGCCTCTCCACCTCCCGTACCCCCATCTTAGGCATGCACTGGTGGGTTATTCTCAGAGATCAAAGTGCATTGTGTATCTTGGGGGAGGGTCAGGAGGTTTAGATTTCACAACACCAACTGCTCTTGCGCCCCCCGCTCCCTTGTCACCCCATCTTGTGGGTTATCCCCATGCTTTCTCTCCCCCAGCATGGGACCAGTGAGGCCCAGTCTGTCCATTGCCCAAGCACATCCTGGGATGGTTAAGTTAATGATGGTGGTGGAAAGTTGTGGCACAAGCAACTTGTTTCTGGTGTAGCAGGGGCAACAGAACACTCCCTGGATGTGACAAGAAGGGTTGTGGAAGCCAGCTCTGCTGCTCTCACAGGTTTACCAGTGGGATCCTGGGGGAAAAAAGGGAGTGAAATAAAAATCAGAGATGGAAGATGCCTCTCCCTTCCCGGCTAGGACTGCTCCCCAGCCCTACCCTCTCCCCAAGGCTCCTAGTTCCTAGCATCTCAAGCAACAGGGCCTTCCCTTAGAGAGAGGACAACCCAGGCTCACAGACCCCTCAGCACTGGAGGACAGCTCCTGAGCTCCCCTCCCCACTTGGTTCCCACACTAAACAATCCCGCTTTGCCCTGGGCTTCAAAGACATTCATCAGAGAATTTCATTCTCTCCCTCCCTCTGTCTGTCTCTTCTTGTTCCAGCATTCTTTTCATCCTCTCTCTCTTCCCCAGTTCCTACCCCCATCTTACTATCCTCCTTTCTGTCACTCACCGGTTGAGCTGGAAGGTCCTGCTCTTCCCCTGGCCCCCCAGTTTCTCTACACCCTCCTGGACCTGCCTGGGCTCCTCCGTCTCAGGTGATGGGACCATTGAGTCTCCATAGGGTCCGAGGATGCTGACTGTGGTGGGCGACAGGTCTGTGAGTGGCTGCTGACTCTCCTGCTGCCGCACCCCACTCTGCTGGCCAGAGTGACGACGACGCTTCTGACTACGGTCCCAGCTGCAGTGAGAGAGGGTCACTGAAACTAGGGGAGGCCTCAACCCCTAAGGTACCCAGAACCTTGAGAACAGTGGGGTCTGTGCCCCTAAGCCTCTGATACACCCAGCACCGTGAGAACAGTGGGGTCCATGTCCAAACCTCCCTCATGCACACAGCACCCTGAGCACAGTGAGATCCTTGTCCCCAAAACCCCTTCCAAGTCCACCCCACCAAGTCCAAGCAGTGTCTCTGGCCCTATGAGCCCCCAGAACGAGTGGAGTCCACTCACTCCCAGAGCAGCCTTGCAGATGCCCAAGCAGGAAGACATCCACACCCTTAAACCCCACTCACCAGAACTTGAATATTATCCCGGTGGCGACTAGGACAATAATGATGGAGATTGTGATAGTAACATACAGCTGAGGATCCACACCTGAGAGAGACAGAGTAAGTGTGTGAGAGCCACATCTGACACCCGGCCAAAGGCACTGCAGGGAAAGGGGCAGGAGGGCTTGGTGTGGGGAGTCCCTCCCCTCCCACCCAAGAGTGCACTCCTGGCCTTTCACAGCAGGGGGTGCCATAAGGAACAGGGTGAAAGAGATGTAGAGCAGATTTACCTTCCCCCCGGGGCCCAAACAAGAAGGGCCTCAGCGTGGCGGGGGTCTCCCGCAGGTTGAGGCCCGCATTGTGCAGCAGCGAGTGGGAGTTGGGTTGTGCCGTTGCCATCCCGTGTGGTGAAACAAAGGTGTAACCCAGAGGTGGGAAGCCTGGATTGGCTGAGTTGGGATCACCTCCATCCTCATCTGACACTGTGGGGCCCCATACAATGGCCCAGGGGTACTGGGATGAAGGTAGCCCTTCCTCAAACCCAGAGGGGGTGGCAGGCCGGGCCCCTGGGGCCTGGCGCCTCAGCCGCATCACATGACGCAGCTCCCCATCCCGTGGTGTCAGAGATCGCTGGCGCAGTGTGATGAAGCGAGAGTCTCTCTCTGACGGTGAGATCTTGTCCCAAATGCAAACAGGCCTGGCAGCTGAGGGACTGCGACGGGCACAGAGTGGCCGGGGAGCAAGGGGACTCCGGGAGCGAAGAGACCAGACGCCATGTGAAGAGACTGCTAAGGCCAGAAGCAGGACAGTCCAGAGCTGCAGCGAGTGGAGGCAGGAAACTAGTGGGAGCATTACACTGTGGGGAGAGAGAGTTATCAGAAGAGTACCTCCTGCTGGGAGATGCCAGGACTGGAGTAGCTGAGAGCTCCCACCACAGCATTCCTATCCCCCTTCCTACGGTGGCTCTTGCAAGGAGCACTGGCTAAGTGGGGAGCTAGCCAGTGTTCCTTTCCCATTCTGTGTTGTGCCTTCTACATTATCAGTTAACTTTGAAAGTTGTGAACTTACCAGGTACCTGACTCCATAGCAGATGCAACAGTTTCTTCACTCAGCAACCACCTCGTCTCATATTCTTCACTAAGAGACAAAAAAAGGAGGTCCAGTGCACATCATCTCCACCACTCCTGGTGTCCCTCAGTACTGATGTGCAGCCTTCAATCATCCCTGGCTATTCATGGCCTGGGCCCCAACAAACAGCTCTGCTGAGGCCCCTCAGTCTACAGACACCCATCTTGAATATACACACAAGCTGCAGACTCACATAGACACACCCTCCTTACCATACACTTAGTCACACAAACACTCATGCATATGCGCACACAAACCACACAATTTCCCCGGGGACTGCTGCGTCTGAAGGTCAAGAGAGAAATTCAGTATCTTTGTTTGCTTGTCACTAGAACAAGTTGGAATCTTCATTCTTATGTTTGCTTATAGTGTGGAGTGAGTAATCCATTTATTTAAAAAAAAGAGACTCTTCCATTGTGTGTCACAGAAAGAGAAAATGGGGAAAAACAACAGTGATAAAGAAAATTATGAAAGTGAGAATGAATCATCTGCAAAAGTCCAGACTTGCTAAAGAATTTGAGAGCAAAAATGTGCCTACCAAATATTTAATATTTACATTCCCATTGGCTAACATGAAATTAGCTTTTCCATACCATCTGTTCCAGGTCTCTCTCTCACACTCTCTCTCTCTCCTTTCTGCCACTCTTTCCCACTTTCTCTATTAAAATATTGTTACCTAGCATAGATAATAGTAAACTAAGGACTGATTTTGTTGATTGGATTTATAGTCTGGCCAGGCCCATTCTCTCTACATTCTAGCATTGTTGGATCATATTAAAGAAGTTCTGTATTAAAATCACAAATGAGTTTGATTCCCCAGAGTTTAAATTCCAGGGAATTACTAATTAAGAGGTCTCTTGGTTTTTGGTAGTTTCTCTCCCTCTGTGTGTGAAACTTGCAAGCTGCTAATTGTGTTAGTACATTCTCAGACAGAGTCTGTTCTCAAAGCAATTCACAGAGAGAGAGAGACTCAAAGCAATACTCTAACAACAGAAACAGCACCCAGAGACTCCCCGCCCTTTTGTTGTATTAACAATTGTGATTAAAATAGAGATAGAGGATATATGTGGATGGATGCTTGGTGTAGATAATAACTGAATGATCAGGGAGGTGCCAGCCTAAGAATCCAGTGTCCATCGGCTGAAGAAGGCGTCAAGTGGAAATAACCAGAGGACCCCCCGGAGGGCAGACTGGAATCCACCCAACAGCCTCAAGAATGGGAGAACCAAAGAACAAGATAACATCTTGGAGCCGTCACGAATGTGCTATCTACTGATTGATTCAGCAACAGCATGATGAAGCAATTCCCATAGACTGCCATAGGAAGAAATTCCTATAAAAATAGACTCTAAAAAGTGAGAACTTGGGGGTCTGATTCTGCAAGCCAACTTCCAGGAGCATCAGATGAGCATCTGACAAGGCCCTGCTCCCTCCTCATGTCCAGGCCACCTGGCCAGTGGCTTGGCATGAGCAACTCTAAGGCTGGTAACTATGATAACAACCTTGCAGAACCTGTGTGTGTGTGTGTGTGTTTGTATGAATGAATGTGTGAATAAATATGAGATTGAATGGAATGTTGTAACTATAACTAACTGCTTACTATGATTCTTTCTGTATTCACAATAAATGTGGTATTTTGCCTTTTTTCCCTTTAATAAGATCCTGCTGGTTTTTATTTTATTGGTACAACATTTTGGTGGAGAATTGCGAAAGGGGGAATATTGGTAAAAAACCTCAGTTATTGTAAATATTGGTGTGCACACCGCCAGCTCTACTGAGCTAGGCATTTCTATCGGGTTAACCAGACCTGCTGGCCTCCGGGAAGGTAGCCGGGGACCTGCTGGCCTCCGGGAAGGTAGCCGGGGACCTGCTGGCCTCCGGGAAGGTAGCCGGGGACCTGCTGGCCTCCGGGAAGGTAGCCGGGGAAAAACGCATAGATTAAGCTATGATTTCAGAATCTAGGCTGTGTCACTTGCTAAGTAATACCAGCAGTGACAAAGAGATTGAAATATCCATGTTAAGATGTTTAAAAGAAAACAGGGTAAGCCAGTACCAGAGGGAGGAATGGAGTCAGAAGGAACTCCAACCTCACCTTTTGTTAAAGAAATTACACCTTTTAAACAAATCCTTCAAAAATTTGGGCACAGTCCTTAGACTAAACAAGCCCTAGCTGATGTCTGCACTATTTCGGACCTAGAGGATAGATTGGCTCAGTATATCCTCATATACAAACCTTCTAGTGCTGCCAAAAGAGATGCAGCAGCAATTTGGTTGTTGTGGGAGGCATGTAAGGATTCTTCCCTCCGCTTGTCTTCATGTAAAGAGGAAAAGGCACAAACGGAAAAGGGAGCAGACAATTGGAAGGTGCTGGCTACAAATACCCAAAGCCAGCTGAAAATAGTGAAAGAGGCACTCCAGGAATACAAAAAGAGTGAAAAAGTTAACTCTGCAGAGGCTGGAGGGAATTAAGCAGTTAAACTTTGTATTTCACCCAAACAACTTTTAACCAAAAATGTTAAAAAGGAAAACTGTTAGAGAAAGAGCATTCTTGGTTTCTTTGCAGTCATTCTGAAAGAAAAATGGGCCCTTTTCCAAAGGAATGTCTGTAAATTAGCCAGGCAAAAATAAACTATCTGATTAAAATCATTTGACTGGACAATTTAGTCAAATTTGATAAAAGAACATAAGAGGGTTCTATTGGAACTTAACTGCCTCAAATGTATAAAGGGAATGTAAGATGTAAAAAACAGAGCAGTGTGGAAGGGATGTTAAGGAAAAGAAAATGTGTATGTATCTGTCTGTGTGTGTGTAAATATGTAAAGTTCTAAGGACCAGTTAGTTTTGTTTTTGTTTTAAATAATGCCACTAAAAATCCATTTGACTCTTTAATTCAAAGTTGCAAAACTGACAGACCTTTTTGCTAGACACAGGTAATTAGTGTTGTTTGGCTTTGGGATTTGGCATTTAACCCTTAAAAGGTAACTCAATGCTTTACAAAATTTAAAATGTTTTTAAGTTGTGGCTGCAGCAGGGCAGTCAAAATCAGGAGAATATAAAAAAAAATTTTGAATTCTTTTTGTTTGTTTGTTTTTGTAACAAAATAGCAGATGATAGTTGTAGTAAAAAAAAAAATTAAAGACAGTGCCTCTCTGAAGCAACAGCAGGGGTGAGGTGCACAAAACAAAAAGAAGCAATGTTAGAAACACTGAGTCTTAAAATGGCTCTGAGTAATCAGACTGTCACTTTGATAAAGGTACATGAAAACTCTGTAAGCAAAAAAAGAAATAGTGACACCTTATGTAAAAATGGATCTGGATAATGTTATAGAATTCAGAGTAACAGCCGTGTTAGTCTGTATTCGCAAAAAGAAAAGGAGTACTTGTGGCACCTTAGAGACTAACCAATTTATTTGAGCATGAGCTTTCGTGAGCTACAGCTCACTTCATCGGAGCTGTAGCTCACGAAAGCTCATGCTCAAATAAATTGGTTAGTCTCTAAGGTGCCACAAGTACACCTTTTCTTTTTGCGAATGTTATAGAAGTTAAACTATGGAAGGAATGTGCATTTGCCCCAGAACATGTGCAGGGTATATTGTAGAAGGGGCAAAAGAAATGCAAACATACCATGCTACTTAATTAAAATGCTATTAGGGCTCCAAAGGGAGCCACAATAGGTTGGGTTTTCTTTTTCAGATTGCTGTGAGTTTTGGAAGCAGAAGTTAAAAGTAATCAAAACGCCGGTGAAAGTTGATTGTGTCCCTTTTAAGATAGAGTCTCTGAGCTGCTGATGGCTTTAAATCCAAAAGCAGGAAGTTTCTGTGAAAATGCAAATTACCCAAATGATAAAGGAAGGAAAGAACTAGCAGCACAAAGGAGCTGCAGATAAAGGACATACCTGGTCAGCAAACAAATTGTCTAAATAAAAGGCATGGGATAACAAGATAATTTTAATAAATTTAATGATAATAAGTATCCCTGTAACAACGTATAGTGTGTATGATTTTTGGAAAAATCCTTTAAGGTCGTATGGTAATGATGCTTCTCAGTTATTACCTGTAAATAAAACTTAAAGCTTAACACAGCAGGAAAAACATTATAAACTTGGTCTGCTGTATAAGAAGGAAAACTCAGGGATTTAATGACTAAACAGTGGGATAATTTCCCCATAAACCTTAAAAGATAAAAGCCATTGAAACCTGGCCTGCCTATAGAACAAAAACAAGAAAATGTGGGGGCAATTCCTCTGTTTTGCCTGCAATCAGCAAGGGTATTTGTAAAAGAAATATTTTAAGCAATAATCTGCCACCCCAAAAGGGGTAGAAACATGTTCTTTTTGTCTTTCAGAAAATCAGGAAAAGCTGATGCCAGCTGAAAAGCAACCCAATACCATGAATCTACTGTCACAATAGAAATTGTGTTCTGTGTTCTATGTTTTGTCTTGTGTTTTGTCTTGTTGCTAGCACTGTTGTGTGTTTTAAAAAAAAAATACTGAAGACCTGCAGGAACTTAAAAATAAATTAAGCTTTCTGTCCCAGATACAGGACAGCCTGATACAAAAACAAGTACATGCCAATGTAGACTTGGTCCAAATTGGTCTGGGTAACCTAAAAGGCCGATGGAATCTTTAGTAATGGCTTAATACGACCACATGGCTTATCCATAAGAAAAAAAAAATATTAGAAATAGGAAACTACACAGCCATAGCTATGGGATGCACTGAAATGCAGATACTTGCACTAGCTACTTTGGAACACAAAATGTTCTGGGTCATATTGGGAAATATTAAGGGTTTGATGCATTTGTTAAAAAAGAAAGAGATCATTGTTTGACACTTATCAATATGAATGGATGCAATATGTTTCCAGTATTGTAAACCAGACTTGTTAATGGGAGAAATTGTTGTCAAAATTGCACACCAACAGTCCCTGGAGGCAAAGGTATTGAAGGTTCGCCCACTCCCCATATTACACATGGGATCCTTCTGGCTACCCTGGACCTTGAGCCAGTGGG